TCATTCATTCGTGGCGAGGCTTCGTGAACGCAGGGAAGGGAAGGACGCTACCCGATGCACGTACCGCACATGGGAGTGCAAACTCGCTCAACCTCACCAGTGAGCCAAACTTCGCTCAGCGGCACACACCGGTAAATCAGCAGCTGTTCATTGCTGCTGCTTCCTACTGAGGAAGGAAGTGGTGCTTACAAAGTTCTCAGAAGACTGAACGTTTGAAAACTGTTTTGGGAAGGCTTGATAGAGAGCTAAAAAAAAAATAAAAATATAATTTTTATTCCAGTGAATGTCAGGGGGAAAAAATAATAAAGAAATTCATTTTAGTAACTCTAATGCTTTGGCCTTTTTCCGTAAGAGCTGATCTTCTGGAAAGCTGAATTCAGGTTTCAGGAATTTTTCCTCTCTAACAACAGATTGAAATTAGTTTGAACCCAAGGGCAACTACTTTAATACCTGTCCAACACACATCTGACCTCTATTTTATGAAAAGCTTGAGAGTTTTTCCTCATCTGAAGAGAATGGGAAGTTTAAGCTGGATTTCATCTTTCGGCTGTCAAAGTTTAAGAAAGAAACTTGAAAATGAAAAGTGCCTTGCCTCACAATTAACAAGAAAAGAAACCAAAGCCCCAAATCAAAGCATCAGACAGCTACAGTATTTAGCATTTATGGAGTGCTCTTCCCACAGGCCGAGCCAATGACAGTTTTCAGGTCTGTGTGGAAATCGCTGCAGCATTTTAATGATATCTTTACTGAAAAATTTTAGACAGGTGAATTTGATTTTCTGTTTTAATTAAAGCTGCAGAAAAGCTGAGGTCAGCAGAATGATACTGCTGATCGAATTTAAGAGAAACCCTGTCCTCAGCCTGCTGCACACACAGGCTGCACTGGCTTAGTGACAGGATCGTCTCATATGGATTTCATTAGTCCTGCAACTTTTTCACTGCCGTTCTCTGTTTGGATGGTGCAGTACACAGGGACAGCAACCTGATTATCTGCTATTAATCCACACCATTGGAGAACAGCTCAGTGGAGGTCAGCTTTTCTGATACTCAAAGATCAATACACCTTAGCCTGTCCATGTGGTCTTTTACAGGGTACTAGGCTTGCTTTTAGAATGTGTTTTCAGGTAGGTAGTGACATGTAAGAAAAACTCTGAAAACCTCTGGATCTGCATCAGAAAATGGCTGTCTAGGGAAAAGAAGTTATTGCAAACCAGTTTCCCATGTTTTTTTGGAATCAGGAGGCGTTTTTACATGTCTCATTTCAACACATATTAGAATGGACCTTAAACTTGTAGCAAAGCCAGCTCAGTTGTGTGTCACAGAAGCAATGCACTGCACGTTTCCTAGGAAAGTCTGCAATGTGGCCGTGAAACAAAGCACACACGTGAATGACTGAGATGCTTGAATTAAAAAAGCCACAGATGCTGCAGCACAAATTAGGTTTTGTACCGTTTCAATTAAATGTTCCTCACTACACTTGAAGATATCAACGCACTTCTAAAAAGCAAATATTAGCAGCAAGAGACACTGCCACACAGACCTGACAAGACATGGTTAAGTACTGGGCTGAAAGCAGCAAACAAAGTAACGAAACCTTACATCTGGTTCAGATGTGAACCAATGCCAAAGTTCCAAACATAATTACTGTAATGTGTCCATTTTAAAGCACTGACAAATTTACAACTGAGTGCACACTTCCAGGCTTGACTGAAAATGCTGACCACTGTGGCCTTGGAAACTGCAGTGGATTAACACAGGCCATCCTCTACAGACTTCTGTTAAATTAAAAGTTACCATCTATTTATTCTTTGCTTCCAACCATCCTATTTTCCTGAATAATTTTTTTGGTCAAGTAAAATTAATTATTATTTGCAAGGAAGGGGGAAAAAGGAGGCAGCAGGACGCAGTCATTCATATAAGTTAACCATGTAGTGACAAGATCGCAGGCAAAATAGAACATCTTTAGTAATTAAAAAGTCCAGAATGCTGTAAGATCTGAATCTCACTGATCTGTGAGTGAAACAAATCACTTGGCCATGAGCCCCCTTGGCGCAGGGCACTGGGAGGGAAAGACTAGCATTTCAAAACAACTATTCTAGAAAATGTGTGTCTTAAAATGCAGCCGTCATTCGACAGTGAGTTTCAGTCAGAAAGTCACGTATTCTCTTACAAGGGTTTGCTTTCTCAGCCTAAGCAATGATTTTTTTAATATAGTTGTGTTCATACACACACACACACACAGGTAGACACACACACACGTACTTCATATCTGACCACGAAGGTGAAGGCATTGGATATTATGCATCAACACAAAACACACATGGATTTGGATTTGTTTTTGCGGAATTAACTGCTAACAGTATCCAGACAAATTCCCCTCTGCATTTGCAGTCTTTCCAGAGAGAAGCTGCACGCCAGCAACTTGAATTTGTTTCCTCTCCCCCATCCCTAGGGCAGCGCAGCTCTTCAAGACCCGAAGAGCAAGGCCAGCAGCCGCGCTCCGGGAGCAGCACTCACCGAGCTCGCCCGCTGCGTTCCGACCACCGACTGCATACAAATGTCCTTTGAGGGCACTTAGGTGGAAGAAGGTGCGCTTCTCGTTTAAAGATGCGACTTGCATCCACTTGTTGTAGCGAGGATCGAACCTAAACACCGTGTCCACCGCCGTCTTTCCTTTCGTGTCGTAATTGCTCTGGCCTCCAACTACGTAAAGGAAGTTTCCGATCACGGCGATGCCGTGCTGGTACCTCGGTGCATCCATGGGAGCTAAGGACTTCCACTCGTGGGCCTTCTCGTCATACATCCGTAACTCCTTGCTGACAACCAGCTGCTGCCTCAGCACTCCCCCCAAGGTCACCAAGTGGGTGCTGTCCGAGCGAATGGCAGTTCTCTCCGACTGCATGACCGGCTGCATGTATGGCATCATTTGGTAATTGCTGGCTTCCAACAGCAAGTTCACACAGGTGTTGTCGGTTCTCATGAAGTCCACCGTTTGAACATAGTTAATGAGATCCTGGGGCGTCATCAGCGGAAACCTGATGTTCTTCATCAGCTTTGCAGCGTACTCCATCCGAGGCTCCTCATACCGTAGCCAGCGACAAGCCGCCTTGAAGAGTTCGAGTTCAGTGCAGTGCTTAAGGCTATTACTTGAAAGCACAAAGGCAAGACGTTCAAAGGGGAGTTTCACAAATTCACCAGTACTTAATAATGCGGGGAAGTTCTTCAGGATGAAATTATTAACGTATTTATCCACTTCTGTGAGATTGTACGTGTTGGCAATTCGCCCAACCTCAACACAGTTTTCCAACGAAACCTATTAAGCAAACAGAAAGAGGAATCAAAACGCTTTCTTAATTTGGTGTCTAAATAATGTAGGAGGTAACGAATACTCTAGAATCAGCAATATTTCATCATTTTGTAACACTCAAGGTGATTTACACATGAGCAAATAAATATTCAGTGTGACAGATATATTCATGACTGCAAGGGGAGACCCAATGTATTCCTTATTGTGGAGAGAGAAATGAGAAGTAACAAGCAGAGGGCATATATTAATTATGTCAAATACATCATACACAGCGATTCTACATCACTTCATCTTCAAAAAGCTCTGCGAACTTCTTTGCCAGAAAGACGTGGAAACTGGTGAAAGGAGAGGTGATTAGCCCAAGGTTACAGAGAATAATGCAAAAGTAGTTCTTGCCATTAGATCTTTTCTAACATTACTAAAATTGTATTGTCATAACGCAGCCAAAGAGAACGGAACAGCTACCTCTCCAATGCCACCTATTTCAGACTATTTACCTGTTCAATCCCACGAATTCACTCCTTACAAATGAACAAAATTGGATCCTCAGTAAATCAAGGTGGTGCTCTACTGGATTATGTTTAAGTATGTGCCAAAAATAAGACAAAGGATTTTATTTTACACATATAGGTATATAATTTTTTAAAAATAATGAAGAAATACCCAGCACATGAAATGCTTTACCCTAATTTAATTCAATACTGGAGTGACCACATCTTGGCAACCATCTCTTCTACCCTGTTGCTGCATCTACCTTTCTTACATTTTTGGCTCCTAAATTTGGTGTCACTTAGGATCCAAGGCAGAAGGAGGAAGAAAGATGGCAGAGATGGGGCACAACTTAAATTAGGCCTCCAGTGAAGCGGACCAAACCCTTTCAGCAAGTTCTATGGTACATACACAAAGCAACTCAATTTTGAAATGCTTCTTGCTGAGAATAGCAGGTTTTTGCTTTCAATCCTTATTCTAATTCAAGCTTCATTTACACATGCTTTCCAGTCTCTGTGCATGTCAGTCCTACTCAGTAACGACAGTTTCCACAACTTCGTGATTCTCATTATATCTGTAATGCCAGAAGCGTTTAAGCTGCCGAATCTCATGGTTATTTTTAAAGAGATTACTAAGATCAAGGACTATAACTGATTGCAGTCTAAGAACTCAAACAAAAACCTTCAAATGACCTTCTGGTCATGACAGAGATTACCAGATTTTAATACTGTATAACCCAATCTGATCACTGCCCTTTAACACTACACAGTCCCAAAGTCTAAGGAGTATAGAAACAGATTTTTTTCAACCCCCTAGGACCTGATCTAACTTGCTCTAGAGATCTGCAGTCATCCAAAGTCTTCATTCACACATCTTGAAACACCTTCATACAGTCAAATGCCCCAAATCTTATTTTTCAACTCCAGGAACACCAATCCTATTTAAAAGATGAACGTGTGGCAGACTGTCAGGACTGCTACTGTAAAAACATCTGTGCAATACACACGTGGAAGTTGTTTCTGCATTACAAGACAGACCACGTTGTTTATATCAAAATAGACTCACATCGGCTATCAATAACCTGTAAAACATTCTCTCACGATTAGGAAACGTTTTCACTTCTTTTGAATGTTTTTGAGTCAGCATCAAACTCATTTACCTACATTGCCTTTTAGGATTTTTATTTTACAGAAATTAACTGTGTATTGGAAGTAACATCATACCTCAAACTGCGTAAACAACACAGGACATTCTTACTTCTAAAACTTCTCTCAAGCTGTATAATAAAAATAAGCCAACAGTAAAATCACCCCTTAACAAACATCTGACTTACAGTATACCACAAACCTGAGCTCGTGCTATACAGTCACTGTATTTTAAAACTACGCTGGAATACATTCACTGCCATCAAACGACAGTGATGCAGCGCTTTCTCTGTATCAAGGTAAGCAGACAGAAACACATTGTTTTGTACAGAAAAGGAATGCTTGAAGTCAAAGATCAAAGCAAAAAAGGTACAGATTATGTACCCCTGGTACCTGGTGTTCAGGATGCTCTGAAGTATTGAGAGCTATTGTAGAATGCACGTCAGCACCCAGCATCCATCCAGTTGATGCATAAGAACTACGTTATACTGTAAACCTATGCAATTTAATATATTCCTGGAATGCCTACACTGGAGAAATCTACTGACACATTACACACTGCTAATGGCTGATGAACATCAGCAGTTTCCAGTTACTCCCTAATTCTCGGAAAATTTATCTTATACTGCCTGAATGAATCTTGAAATGACTCTTGCTTGAAAGAGTCCAGCAGAGCCACAAAGATGATGGAGGGAGTGGAGCATCTCCCTGATGAGGAGCGGCTGAGGGAGCTGGGGCTCTTGAGCTTGGAGAAGAGGAGACTGAGGGGAGACCTCATTCATGTTTATAAATATTTAAAGGGTGAGTGTCA